GTAGTCACCTGCAACTTCCTCCGTCCACTTCAGCTGCCATAGGCTAGGAATAAGACTGCAGGGCTACCATTGACAGAGAAAGAGCGGGTCCTGAAGTGAGGGCACAAGGAGGCAGCTGGGCATCATGCTGGACTGGAGGCGTCACCCGAGACTAGATCCTCCCCCCACCGCTGGCCTCTGCACTGTAAGTCACACCGCTGTTCTCTGCACTCTGCATCACACCCTGACCACTGCGTCACACCGCTGACCTCAGCACTGTGCATCACAGCGCTGCCCTCTGCGTCACAAACCCAGCTAGGGAGAACCCCTCCTACTACCAGCATGTCCGCCTTTTGTCGTAAAGCGGTACTAAGAGCATGATCATAACCACAGAGGGGTGGAACCCTTTAATGGACTTCAAAAAAAGGATTTGACGATAAGTACTATACATACTAATTTTCTTTGAGGGACATGGAAATTCTTTAACCTTCAGGATATCCAGAAGCAGTCCAAACACAGAGGTCAAGCACAGCAAACCAACGCATTCAGGCCCAAACAGATAACTAGGGAATGCCTGCAGCTCAAAGAACCATGTGCAGGACTTTGCACCTGAAGCTGGCATCAGATGAGACTGAAACATCACCCTGGTAAAACTTGCCAACCTGCAAACCGAAGACAAGGTGGCAGCCTAGCAAATTTGCAAAACAGTTGCTTGATGCCAAAAAGTGCTAACCGATCTAGTAGAGACTGCGCCTTGAGACCATAAGCTGGGGTGAATGCCTGTCTAAGCCACCTAGAGCTAGGAGCCAGTGCACCATTACAGGGTCTATCTGGAATGACAAAAAGGAATCAGTCTTTCAGAAAGAAGCAGTGTTTGAGAGTTAAGTTGAAGAGCCTGAAACACAATCTGATAATGAAAGGAAATTTATTGTTGGTGAAAGGGGCTGGGCACAGGAACAGAAGAATAATGTCCTAGCTAAGGTGAAAACACAGAAACTACTCACAGACATGACAGCTAAAACAAACACCACCATGTAGGTGGGAGTGGAGAGAGGAAGGTCTCTAATGGGTTCAAATGTTGCTTTCTGAAGAGCAGAAAGAACCAGATTCAGGTCGCACAGAGTCTCTCACACCAGACTCTGAAGCTGCTAACGCCATGCACCAATCAGAAAAGGAATCTGCAAGAGAGGGCTTGGAAAGGTGCTTGGGGTGACTACAATCAGAGTAAGCAAATAACTGAGTTATTAGGTCCATAAATTATTTGGAAAAAACCTTAGCTCGAAGGGGAAAGTATTCAGCCACACGCGACAGAGTTAAAGAGGACCTCAAGGATGGGATAGACTTCAAGAACAGCAGGAATTCTTGGAACATCAGGCAGCAGCCTTGGAGCCGTAGAGTGTGAGCTGGAGGCACCCAGCACAGCACGACTGTCCCCCCATATCTAGAATCGCATGGTGTTAAGCAATGTATAGGCTCAGGGTAAGAGGCAAGGCCTCAAATATTCATGAAGCCCAGATGGATGGTAGCAGGTGAGGGTCAGGTGACCAGAGGTGAACAAAATCATTGTAGGTGGGCAGCAGGAATGGACTGAAGTTCCACCTAGTATTTGCAAGCAGGAGCAGCAGCATGAAGATGCTTCTTCAATGCTGTATGGTGAGAAAAAAAGCGTAGAATGCACGTAGCGCCCCAAAGCATTAACCCCATCAGTGGCAAAATTGGCAGTAATGAGGAACAATGGCATCCAGCAACTTAAAGGGTACTCCCACTTTCCGAGGTAAATTTGACAAAATGCAATTACCCCCACCAATCTGCCCCCCCTTTCCAGCTGTATACTGGCAGCTGCAGAGGGAAATGACCACTCAAAAAGGTAAGAGCAGCGGGGGTAATTCCATTTTCTCAAACTCGCCTGGGAAAGTGGAATTACTCTTTAATCATGAGGAAGCTCCCGATGCTCAGCCCAAACAGCTTACACACCAAGTGAATCTTTGGATGCTAGCGAGTCTGGTCCTAAAAAGCACTGGTAATGGAAATTGCCCCACACGGAGACCAGTGCCCCTAAAGGTCACATCCAGGCTATCCCCACAATGACCAGTCCAGCGGGGCCTGGACATGGTACTCTGAAAGCCAGGCTGAGAACGACCACAAAAAACTGAAGAATTAAAAAAAAGTGTTAGCTAACAATTAGGTTAGTCTTAAAGTCTGTAAACCTGAAGAAAAATGTCCACTCTCCTAGGACACTAGCAAAAAAACGAGGCATCCTGATATTTTTTGTTTGCCAGTGTCTAATCTTCCTCTAAGCAGCAGTATATCCAAAGGGTAAAGATGTTTCTGTTTCCCTCAATAGATGAGAAAAACAGATATATTGGGAGGATGGGTGGTGTTGTGCAGATAAGGATAACTTTTCTTATTTTGTTCTTCACAGGGTTACCTGGAATTCTGATTAACTGTTAATACATTTTATTTAGTACATTTTTCTCCTTTAGAACAGAGATACACCTACTGTACATATGAAGATAAACAAACAAACAAGAGAGATCATTACTTGTACAGCTTCTTCCAGAGAACACCAGGTACTCGAAAACCCTCATCGAACTCTACATCACTGTCCTCTGACTCCTCAACGGTTATAAGCTGCTCTGCTTCTTTAGCTAGCTGCTTTTGCCAATGTCTGAAAAGATACAGTAAATAAAAGCAAACAGATATCAGGACCCTTCTTAAAGAAAAAAAACAAAAACATTGGACACACACCTCAAATGAACTTACCGAAGGCGATGCTTGTAAAACTTAAAATTTCCATCATCTCTACACCGTCTACCTTTTGCCGAGTTAGACAACTCTCCCTCCTCTTCATCAGAGCTTGGAAGAAACTCTGTATCTATAACCGTATGCCGAGGCCTTTTTGCAGTTGCTTTCTGAGGCAGAGGTTTCAACTCATAATCAGAGCCTGGGCTATCCTGCACCCATTCATCGTCATCATCCAAACTCTCCTCTTTTATCTCAGTTTTGTGAACAGATCCCTCACTGTCGTCATCTTCTTGGCAACCTTGTTCAGGTATAGAATTTGTTCTTTTACGTGGGATTCCTGTACTGAACTGAGTCTGGAAAGCTTTTTTTTGTAATTTCCTCATCTTTTTTTTCAATCTCTTCTCAGCATTTGGAATAGTTACATTTTCATTTGCTTTATGTAATTTTGTAGAGTCTTCTTGCACTACTTGTTTCTTTTTTTTGGGAGTAATGCTACATTTTCTATAAGCTGCCATTTGTGCTTGATCAGCAAGGTACTTTTCAAAGTCTGAGGAATCGTTTAGCATCAGGCGTCGTGGTTTGCGCTCTTCTTTTGGGGGAATTTTTGTGCCAAATGGGGTCATCTGTCCAGTACGGATAAGATCTTCCCACTCGCTATCTTGACAAGGCATCAACATACTACCGAGTGAAGTGGCCAACACATCTGGCAAATGTTGAATATTAAATGTGTACATATTTGAATTTAAAAGATAGAGAAAAAAAAAAACACAATCAAAAGAAAAACAAAAATAGCAGCATGTTCAATCACCTAAACAAATTCCCAATGTTAAAAGACTGAACCCTGAACTGATTGGATACGACGAACGGTAGCCTCAATAACAGTCAAAATTAGCAATATTACCTCAGATATACAGTCGGTATATCCTAATGTTTATTGATTATTGTATGGTTTTATTGATGTCAAACATTATTCTAAATGTTCTCATTCAAAAACGTATTTGAAAACTAAATTGGAAATACTGTGTTTCACTTTCAGAAATAGGACTACTTTGTGCCAATACCGAGATGTCTTTACACAGCCCATGTAATTGTAGAGTGTAAATCTGCTATACTTTTCCACGAGTGGAGATGACTAAGAAAATCACCTTCTACATCACCTAAATCATCTTGGTTAAGATCCATCTCCTCTTGGCTTTCTCCCAACACTGTAGCCAGGCGTCTCTGTTTAGCTTTGATTTTCCTCAGTTGCTGCTCCTGACATGTAAAAAAAAAAAATAATAAAAAAAAATAAAACTTAGCCATGAATTGTGACCAGTTGCTAATAAGATTTGGTCACCAAACCATTCACTTCAGCAACAAATCTTCCCCTAAGAATATATGTGCATTATATTTTAGGAATGTTATTTATCTATAAAAGCCTCTTTTGTGGAGGCATCGAAAAGGCCTGAGACTGCTTCTGGATGCCACCATCTTCAATTGCATACCAACGCCAGCAAAACCCCATTTTTACTAAAGTGTGAAGAAAAGCTCGCAGTGCGTACTGAAGCCAAGGCTAGCTTAAATTGCAGATAAACAGAGAAGATGCTTTTCATGTAAAGATTGATATGCTTTTACTATAGCCCATGAATGGGATATGCGGCCTCACTGGCCAATAACGAGCAGGGGATCTTGGCACATCTCACTCAGGAAGCATCTGCATAACAGAGCTGAGTACAGAATAAAGTATATCTTTATATTATGCATATGTATTCCTTCAGATCAGATCATCTCTCCCTCTCCAATTGATATGGGTATACCTATTCTCAACAAAGCTGGCAATAAAGAGTAGGGTGGATGAGAAACTCTTCTAACGTGGTTGTGTAAATATGAGCTTCAACTATTGGGCTCTGTATTTAGGCTAGTGTCAGCAAAAAACACTAAGGATATGACTAGAAAACACATGAAAAAGGGAGAAAAAAATTTGCAAGTCAAACATGTAAAAAATATTAATAAGCAATATTTCAAATCTAGCAAGAAAAAAACAAGTAAAAAGTTTTAAAATGTTACTTTTTATTTAATAAAACACTATAGATTCATTTTGAACAAACGTATAACCTATTGACCTTGTAGGACTTTGATGTGTAACATTTAAGAACTGTTCATACTACTGGAATGCCCAATCAGTAGGTAACTAGGTAACATGAGGTTTGTGGATTGCACAGCTATAGCGCCACAATATAACTATAGGACTGCTTAGCATTGGGTGTGAACGACTTCTGTAGACTTCTGTAGACCACTGCTTCAATACAGAGAGAAAGGGTCCTTCTCAGCAGCATGCTAGCAGTGGACAGGCTTTTCTATTCAGACTGTGGCTGCTTACACATATCTGGTTTTGATGCACGTAGAAAATATTTCACTTACTGAAACTGAAAGTTTAATTCAGCTTTAAAGTATATGTCCCCTAATACATGCCTACAATAGTTAAAAATTATTGCCTTGAAATTAGCGAACTCGCCCAGCCCATTTAACGGCCTACTGCAGCTCTCCTCGCCCCACCCCTTGGGATTTAGGCTCAACATTGGCGCAAAACTGCAGGTTGCTAGGGTGACCTCTACCCTTTCCCTTCCCCTCTGACACCGGTGATTGGGGACCCAGATTTTCCTCCAGGCTTAGAAAGCAGATACTTGCGATGACTGCTGACCAAAAATACATTTTGACTGCTGGACCTTTACTCCAATAACCAATGCCTTCACAGGAGGCACTAAGGACTATAGTGGATCCACTTCTAGATTGTTGGAGTTCATATGAGTTCAGACATTGTTCTCTATCCCAAGAACCCCAGACATGGACATGGCTGCTCACTGTGTTGGAGACCATGTTTAAAAACAGTCTTCTGACCTGATACACTATATCCATAATAGCGGCAAGGGCATGTATTTTAGTACATGGGCATCAACCACTGGTGCCAACCATGAGGCTTTGGTTCTCCAAATATAATGAGTTATACAAAATGGTGGACATGACTTCTATGATACACAATACTGAAGAAACATTTCAGATCTACGTGGAGAGCTTGCTAGCCTGGTCCTGTTTACCACCAACACTGACCACCTAGGTCCTGACCCCCCCCCCCCACCCCCAAAAAAAACCCCAGGGATAATTTCCCTCACTTTGGAGAAATTTAATCTTAATTTATTTTGTGTCTACAGTGCAAGAAGCACTTTAAAGGCTACACGTGCTACTTTTCAATTATTTAAAAAAAAAAAGACCTTTTCAGGTCCAGGATGACTTGAAACTATGTCAACAAAGAGGACATTGTGGGCACAGAACTCAGAAATGTGCTGCCTACACCTTGGATTGTCTCAATGGTTTTTCTGGCAGTTTTCCTCTTATTTTTATTGATTGTGTGATAGCAGGCAGATGCTCCAACTTACAACTCTGAAAATACGAGCTGAAGTTTTATCTGATTAATCCGATTATATTTTTTCTTCCCTAGTTCCTCCTATTCCGCCTCATCAGCATGGTAGTTCATTTTTTTTACAATAAAACCTTGTTATTTTCATTACACATCTTATTTTAGACCAGGTGACAGGATAACAGGGTCTCTTTGCTTCTCCATGTAATGTAGGCAGATCATGGCTGGTGGAAGAGCCTGGCAGGGTGCTGTATTTAGCTTCCTAAAAACATCATAGCACCTTGCCTCAGTACTCCTCTCAAGAGTCTTCAGTCCTCATGCAAGCAGTGGGCAGGCTCTTGGGAGGAGTTAAGCAAATATCAAAATGCCTTGATGGGTGGATGTCAGTTTGGAGGAGCGGAGCTCCTAGACCAGTGGTGGCGAACCTTGGCACTCCAGCTGTTTTGGAACTACAAGTCCCATGAGGCATTGCAAGGCTCTGACAGCAACAGACATAACTCCCAGAGGCAGATGCATGTTGGGATTTGTAGTTTTAGCACAGCTGGAGTGCCAAGGTTCGCCACCGCTGTCCTAGACCATACAGAGACTGCAGGTATACCTTGGAAATTAAGCATCTTTTTCTTTAACCCTTTAGCTGCCAAGCCCTCAGAAACATTTTACAAATCAGCTGGCCACGCCATTTTTGCAATTTTTCCCATTGATTTGATGTTCAACTGCTGCGTTGCTAGCGTTTGTAAAAGACCCCCCAAACCATATATTTTCTGAAAGCGCAGGACCAGTAGAATAAAAAGATGGTGATACTAAATTTGTAGGCCGTGCGATAATTGCGCAAATGTTTCTCAAATTAATGTTAAACCGATAAAAATACACAATTCAATTGTTAAAACACACCAAAATCAGTATCCGTGCACAAAAAATATATATTTTCTCACTAAATCTAACAGATAAAACTGTATTGAGTTAATAAGTAACAAATATTTGCAAATTTGAAATTGCGCCTTTTTGCGAAAAGGTAAAAAAATTAAGGTAGGCAAAACTGTAAATAAGCGACTTATGTTAAAAATTATTCTTACGCCGTGTTGGTGTTTGTGTTGTGATAAAATGATACAGGTGTATATTTAATTGCAACATAAGGTATCACAACGCACGGCAATGCGTCACAAAGCTTTGCCATGCGCTGCCACAAACCTCATCCCTGCATGGAGCAGCTTCCTTCAGGCAGGGATGAGAGACTCCAGATGCCGGCAGCAGCGGTGCCGGACCGTATGCCTTACGTCGGTGGCAGCGAAAGGGTTAAAGCAAGGACTGCTATTTTAATATACTATAGAAGCTGAAATGCACAGGTACTCTTTTAGGAGAATTGATGTGAACCCTGAATTGGTGATTAACCCTTTAAAGTCTGATTATACAAGTCCTACCATATATATTACCTATTAGGCTAGCATGATATAGACATGAAAATAAACATTGTATATATTATAAATTAAAATTCAGGCCCCACCCAGGGCTAGCCCCAGAAGCTAGCCAGAATGCTTTAGACATGCAAGAAAAATAAGTCAAGATGCTTAGCTGCACCTTCTCAGACTCCCAGGAGTAATAGTATGTATGCAGAAAACAGGCATGTACAGCAATCTTTGTGAAGCATTATGGCTACCCCAGCAGTAGTTGAAATGTGTACAAAGAAATATCCTCTTTAGGTCTTCCTCAGCGAAGTCACTGGGTTCTGAGAATATAGTCAATTTGTTTATACAAAACACATAAATCCGCAGGTTACTTTTCAAATTACAAAAGGTATCTCCTATGTACTACATCAAAATTAAACTGTCTAAAAGACAATACTACAAAGAATCAATACAAACTTTATTATGTTTTTGCCGTTTTACAGACTCCAGTTTTCGAGCAACCTCTTTGGAGACTACAGCTTGCGGAGCAAGCTGTTCAATGATTTTGTCGATTTGGCGCAAGGAGGTGACACAGTAACTGTGAAGAAAACAGAAAATTAGGTCAGTCTGATCGTGCTTAAAGACAAAAAAAGTATTACACCTTAATATCTCTTTATGTTCCTGTACCTCTCATGTTATGATTTGTGAATGATTTTTGCTCATAAATGCTTCCTGCTCTTCCACTATAGTGTTATATGCTAAAATACTGTCGAAGAGTAACTGCCTCAGCACAAATGTCTTCACACAGAAAAATACGGCAAGGGGGGAGGGGGGCTGTTACTAACTGCTGATTACCAAGAGCATTGGGTCTAACTGTGGTGCCTATTGGTCCAACAAGAGACACACCGCACAATTGCTGTTAAAAGGAAAATACAGGAAAATGGAGGCTGTTAGGCTGGGCACACACCTTACAACCATCGCAAGACTTGTCTTGCGATGGTTGTAAGGTAATTTAAAAAATGTACGATCTGCCTATCTTGGACAGGCAGATCGTACTTCCGATGATCGCAAGCCCGCCCCGCTGAGGGGCAGGCTTCCGATGACCGCAATGCTGAACGGGCAGTGTGCGCTTGCGCACACCGGCTTGTCCGCCTTTTATCTTACGAGCATGCTACACACCCGCCGAAAATCGTACGATTCTCATCGGGTTTTCGAACATGTTCCTAAGATAAAAGTCGTGGAACCTTACAGTAGCAGAGGTCGCACGACTCCCACGCACCTTACGATAATCGTACGATCACGAGATTTCCCGCGATTATCGTACGATTATCGTAAGGTGGTGTGGGCACCTTAAGTATGTCTTTCTGACTCCATGTCCATTTCTGAGACTTCAATTGGGTTTTAAATTGGACCTCACAGTAGCTTTACAAGTCGCAATATACAGCATAAAATATACATTAAAGTAATATTAAAGTCTAATTGAGGATATGGTATGTTGACTATGAATAGGAAGTGAGAAAAATCACCTCCTGTTTATTCATAGCTGTAGTAATAGTAAACATACTATATTCTCGAGTTATCAATGAACAGGAACACTCATAAAGTATTCCTGTTCATTGAAAACAGGGGATACAGAAAAAGAGATTGAGGACTCTTGTGTTCGCAATCTCTTTTTCTATTTTAAAAGGGAAATATCAGGTCTGTTTAGACCCCCCAATATTTCCCCGAAGTCCCTAACAGTAAAGTAAAAAAACAAACAAATATTTAATAAAAAATACATACAAATTTTTAAAAATGTGAAAAAATTAAAATAAAAACATTTTTGGTTTCGGCCTGATAATTTATTTTATTTCAGTGCACTTCTAATTATTATTATTATTAGTAAGACTGGAGTTAGGCTTTAAGGACTAATGTTTAATGAGAGAAAGTTTTCTTTTGTTGCTGTATATGTACATTTCACTTTTTTTATGCAGACTTGTAAAGTTATAGATTGCATCAAAGTATAATTCCAGACATTGTCAGATTTTTATTGATCTCTATGTCCATGTTGCAAGATTATCCTGTCACTGGGACAGGAAGTTTTCTGTAGTTGTCCATACAGCTGGCTCCTAAAAAAAATCCTGCAGGCTCCTAGATTGGACAGGCTCCTAGATTGGACAGACTGACTTTGTAATACTAAAACGTACCAGAACAATATAAACTTCATACTACAACACCTGTGCTGAAAAGATATGCAATATTTTAATTGGAGTTCAAATTATGGATGCACAGATACCAAGTACCGTACTTAGTACAAGTACTGATACTTTTCCTGCATGGTAGTAGAGGTTATCTATATTTCCCCAACAGAGCACCACTCCGCAGTTTGCGTGTAGTGCAGCAGGGAGAGAAGCCAGTCCAGAGTTTCTGTCTGGCCCAGTCAGTGCTTCACCTGCACCCTAATGAGCATTACCAGGTAATCTGGGAGTAATGGTGCCCACACACCTTACAATTTATCTACAGATTTTCTGTGGTCAGATGGAAAAGGTGCAACAGATTCCTCCATCTACATTAAACTGTGTGGATGGAGTAATCTCCACCTGGGCCAATCTGTTGCACTTTTTCCATCTGACCACAGAAAATCTGCAGATAAATTGTAAGGTGTGTGGGCACCTTTAGTTGGAACTGGGCTGGAGAGACCAGCAGCAGTCAGGGATAGTGCAAACACTTATTTATACGAGATTGAAAGGACTTCTCAAAAAGGACTATAACTTCATTTGAAAGGTCTGTGCATCCATTTGTTTTGTTTTCCTTGGGAACAAGTGACATCATTGCATTTAAGTTGTGCCTTTTTTTGAAAACGCTCAGTTTAGCAAGGACTTTTGTTTGCTTATTTTTATTTTTGCCTGTTGTGCCAGACCTATTAAAAAAAAGGCAAAGGACTTTATTTTTGAACAATATTGCATCATTGTGTGGTGTTTCCAAATTTTTTTATGGTCATGTTACAGTTTTCTAAAACAATAAAGACTAATGATTTCAGGACAGTGGTGGAGCACCAGTGCCCAGTCGCAGCTGCAACCCTGGTAGTTCTCGTGAAAATGCCAAGTATCGGCACAGGTATCTGTGCATCCCTAATCCAAACCATATACTAATCTTTCTGCCAACAGAGTGACTGCAAGAAGAAGCGGAAGCATCTGGAAACACAACGTCAACATAATTCTATGTTATAAAAAGCAAAAGTAACTATGGACTAGAAGACTAAACAATCTCTGTTATACACTCAGAGATCGATTTATCAATGTTTAAACCAAGACTGACAACTCTCACCCTAGATTCACACATTTTTCTAATCAAACCTTATGTGAAACTTGGACGTAACGTGTGTGACTGGGGTGAAACACTGATACACTCTTTTAGATTGTAACCTCTCCCAAGCAGGGCACACCTAAAACTGGTTTTAGATTGTACTGTAAGTGTAGTGTCACCATTTATTTTGTAAAGCGCAGCCCAATCTGCTGGTGCTATATAAATCCTGTATTAGAATAATAATACAGACCCCCTAGGCTGCAAACCTAAGGGCAAGTCTACCAAACTCCCATATGTTAGCAAGCATTGTAACCTGTTCCCAGAGGCATAGCGCATAAATGATTAAGCCAACTCCGCTGGGCTGTAGTGAAAGTGTGCTCACTGTCAAAATTTACAATCAGGCATTGGTGGGACGGCTACTGATCATGCGAGCACTGTGACAGCCAATCACACCTCTGACTTCTGGTGTAACAGCCATATATACAGGGCAGCAGGGAGTCAGTGGTAAAGTGGTTAAAGTGAATGTGCCCATTGTTCGTGCAGAGCCAAGCAACAGGTGCACTTTAATGGAGACCTCCATAAACGCATATACTTACCTTCCTTTTGCTCCCGTCACTCTGTTCAGTTATCTGGATCAAATGCAAAGCCCTGCATAGGGTAAGAATTGCTGGAGTGGTAGGTTATACAGGGCTATCGAACTTCCATGTGACAGCACTGATTGGCCCATCTCCATACCTGGAAGTAATGGGTATCTCCTTTGGCTCTCATCGGAGAGTAGCACTTGTATTTTTTTCATTCACGGATCTTCTAATAGAATCTGTGAATGAATGATGCAGCTGTGGAGAGAAGAACCCCGCATCTCCCTTGAAATGGAAAATCCCAAGTTTACTTGAATCAGAGTGTAATGTTGCCGACAAGCATTCGTTTTAGGTCAACATTTGTCCTTCGCTGATCTGCCCATCCGTCTTACCGTAACTCATCCAAAAGATCTTGTTTTTCCTTTTCTGCTTCTGCTATCTGCGTGCCCCGAGTGGCCTCATTAATGGCATTGTCCACTTGCTGAAGGACTCCACGCTCCAATACATCCTGATCATATACCGCCAAGCCCAATCCATGCAATTCCGAAGCTTGATCAGTGGCTTCCACGGCCTGGATTTGATTGCGGTCAATCTGTAGGATGCCCTGTTGTTTCTGCACTCCCATTTCTCCAGGGCAAATAGATGAAATATGTGCAGAACTACAAGATGGCCCAGGAGAATCATGGCTGCTCTGTGACTTCGCACTGTCTGATGATGTTGTTGGTTGTTTCACATTAGAGATTTCATCTGGCATTCTGTATGAAAACAAAGACACAGGAAAGCTCAGTACATATAGCGTCTCATAAAAACAGTATAAGGCTCTGCATTCAGTGTTGTCGCTTTAGCCGAGCCGGCAACCCTATTGTTTTTGGAGAATTCCTAGCTGCTCCCTAGCTCGGGGAATTTCCGTGTTATAACCTAATGTACGACGTCAGCACGCTACGAACAGCGGTACGTGCTGTACGTCAAAACAACGCGAGAACACCTGGCCCATTTAGGACGGTAGTAGCTAGTTCCTATCCTGCAGATTGCCCTGTGATGTCACAGGAAACATGTGACCAGGAAGCAAGAACTAGTAGCCGGAAACTCTAATGAATGGGAACTGCTACATTGGTAAGGAGGCTGCAAGCAGATCGCACGTTTGTTTCCTGTAGGTCTCCCTCTCTTCCCCTCTCACTCCCTCTGTCCATCTTCTTTTACATTATATCCTCTCTATGCCTTTTACTCTGTATGCCCCTCCCTCCTCTCTTTCTGTATACTCCCCCATCTTGTCCTGTATACCCTCTCTCTCTCTGTATACTCCCCCTTTCTGTATACCCTCTCTCTCTCTTTATATAGCCCTCTCTGTATACCCCCTCTCGCCCTGTATGCCCCCTCTCTCTCTCTCTCTCTGTATGCCCTCTCTCTCTCTCTCTCTCTGTACGCTCTCTCTCTCTCTCTCTGTATACCCTCTCTCTCTCTCTGTATACCCTCTCTCTGTATATTCTCTCTCTCTATTCACTCCCTCTCTGTGTATACACTCCCTTTCTGTGTATACACTCCCTCTCTGTGTATACACTCCCTCTCTGTGTATACACTCCCTCTCTGTGTATACACTCCCTCTCTGTGTATACCCCCTCTCTGTGTATACCCCCTCTCTGTGTATACTCTCTCTCTAGAGAGAGGGGTATATATATATATGTACACCCTCCCTCCCTCTCTCTCTCTCTCTCTGTACACCCTCTCTCTCTCTCT